TTGTCTTTTTTTGACGTTTAGAATTCTAAAATTTTACGAATATATTAATACCTTGTATAAAATATATAAAATATATCAAAATTCAAAACTTAAATTTAGTTTGATTTTTGTTGATAATAATAATAATCTAAAGTAATTAATGAAAAATGAAAATTTAAATTTAATCTAAATTTAAAAAAATTTTAAAAATTTAGAATTATTTATATAATAATTGTTTATATAATTATTGTTGTTAATTATATAATAATAAAATTGTTTGATATGATAAATATTTTTTTCTAATAATCTATCTAGAAATATAATATTGATTTAATATTAATCTCTCTAATATTATAATAAGATTGATTAATATTATATTTATAAAAATTAATACTCAAGATGTAATAAATAAATATTCGACATTCAAAAGTAAACATAAAATAAAGTAAGCGATATAAAATGATCTTTCTTTTATTCAAAAAGTTGATCAATCTAAACATTTAAAAGAATTTATGTTGTATTGTTTAGTATGATAAGTATTTTTTTCTAACAATCTATTAGAAAATATAATATATTGCAAATATAATATTAATTTCCCTAATGCTATAATAAGAATGATTAATATTATATTTATAAAAAATACTTAAGGTATAATAAATATTAAATTATATTCAAAAGCATAATATAAGATAAATGTAAAATGATTTTTTTTTTAATTATTTAAAAGATTGATGATTGAAATTATTTTATTATCAAGTATTTACCAATAAAGCTAACGTGAAGCAGTTCTAAAATCAATGAAAGGCATTAATGAAATTGATAAAATTATTTGAAATCGCTTAAAAGTTTGAAATCAAAATTAATTTAAATTGCAATTTATTATATTTAGAGTATGATTAGATTTAAAGTTGATTATTATATTATATTATTGTGTTTAATCAGAATTTCAATATTGTTTATTTTATAATATTGTTTATTTTATATTATTTATTTATCTTTATTTATTATCTTTAAATAAAAGAGTAAATATAAAAGTAAATTAAATTTGAAAAGAAAACTATAAAAAGAAAAAATTAAATGAACACTAAATAATTTTAAATTTATAATAATTATATTTATTATTATATTAGTAGTATTAATATAGTTATTTCATTCGTTACGATTCCTAATCACATATATTTTATGAGATTTTTATAAATGTTTTTATATATTACAGAGCTAATTTTAAATTGCTAAAAAAAATTATCTGATTATTTCAGATTCAATAAAATCTTTATCTAAGAATTCTATTTTCAATAGGATTTAAATTCAAATTTTATGCTAATTATTTGAATAATTTAATATTTAAATTCAATATTTTGTAGTTTATTTTATAATATATTATAGATTACTGAAAAAGGAATTCTTTATGCAGATTCATTTTTATTATTCAAAATTTTCATTTTTATTATATTAATAGTTATTCATAATTTTAATTGGAACTTAAGTTTCAATTTCATTTAAAAATTATTAAATTAATAATAAAATTTAATAATTGATGTAATAATGAATATTTAATGTTATATATATTACATATTTTTAAATATGCAATTTTACTATCATTAAAAAAAAAATAAATAATATGATATAA